TCACGTATAAAAATGAATGGAACAGAAACTGTCGTTGCCATGGCAACACAGTGACGCCGCGTGTGTGTGGCTGTAGTTCTGTGGCGCAGGTTGACATAATATCAAACATTTTCTTTAAAAGAAATCTATCCAGTGAGATCAAGGCATTTCAAAGAGGACCTTCTCTTCAGGAATTAATTCATAATTTATTTTCTGTCAGTATGAAGAAGATGCAGCAAATAAGCGGAACTTACATGCGAATTTAGATGTTTCCTCCGGCATCATTTCGCCGTTACACCATCTGCCGGATAGCTACCAGCATAGATATCCATAATAAATATTTATAGATATCCTTTATTATGGATATCTATGGCTACCAGGGCCTGAAGGCTCCCTGGATCTATGGATCTACCCTCTGCATCTACCCTCTGCATGGCCAGGGGCGGCTCCTGATGGGAGCTTTGACGTTCAGCCCAAATGTGGAGGGACCGAATATGGTTGGACACCGGAAGTAGACAAAGGGAAGCTAGCAGTGTTAGCTAGCAGGCCTCTGTTTATCCTCCTCCTAAAGAAAGATTTTAGATTTAGTCTTTTGCAGCAAAACATCTTCATCTTTCGAGAGAAACTAACATCATCATCATCATCAGGAGGCAGAGATCGACCATCAGACTAATGAAGAACTGCAGAACCTTCAGGTAGGAGAACTTTTCTAAATAAACCAGAGAATCAGGGACTAGTTGATGCCGCGGAGGAAGAAGGCCTGCTTTCCTTTATTTCCTGTTTAACTGGTTAACTGGTGGAGACTGGTTCAAATGGATTTTAATCCTTTGGCTGCCTCCTCCATGGGGCCGCCTCCTCCACGGGGCCGCCTGCCGCCTCTTCCATGGGGCCGCCTCCTCCACGGGGACGCCTCCACAGCAACAAAAGCATTACAGCAAATAATAAACACTGCATTCATCTGAAGAATAAATAATCAGCATACAGCTGTTTTAACAGCAGTGCTAATGAGGAGCTGTTGAAATAAACAATAACAGTCTTTTCAAAAACCACCCAAGTTTAAATGGTGATAAGTTTTTATTTATGCCCCAGCACTGTAGAGGCTACAAACACAAGAGGAGAGAACGTATAACGAGGCAGAATGTTTCTCTGCTCTCTGCCATGTTGAAAGGTCAAAGTTTACCTCAGGGTCACCTTTCCAGTGAAAATGGTAACGAACGAGTAGAAGGATGCAAACAAAAAACAAAGTGGAAAAAACAACCAAACAATGAACAGATGATGATGATGATGATGATGACGAGCAGTTTATCCTTCCAAACATCAGGTTTCTATTGGACCCTCTACAGCAATAAAGAAGATAAATAATTTTCTCTGGTTATTTGGATCCAACAGTTTGACCCCAATAAGTTTGATTTTCTGGCTGTGAGGGATTGCTGCAGAGCCAGTGAGTTGATGCAATCAGCTGGTTTAGATAGAAAACTTTGAACCTTTAATCTGACTGGATGATCTGGTTGAATTGTGTCTACAAAGTGACCTGAGATAACATGGTGCTATAGAAATAAACTGAATAGGATTTCCTTCAAAAAAAAAGAAGTGAACATTCTAAAAAAGATGAGAAAAGTTTCCTCTGATTTGCTGAAGATCAAAGGTTCTCTCTTCATGAGTTGGTTTGATCCAGTCAATTCCTCTTCTTTGACCTTTCTGTCTCCAGATGAAGGACCTGCTAACATCCAGACGGCAGCAACCTGCTAACATCCAGACGGCAGCAACCTGCTAACATCCAGACGGCAGCAACCTGCTAACATCCAGACGGCAGCTACCTGCTAACATCCAGACGACAGCGACCTGCTAACATCCAGACGACAGCGACCTGCTAACATCCAGACTACAGCGACCTGCTAACATGCAGACGGACGGCAGCGACCTGCTAACATCCAGACGGACGGCAGCGACCTGCTAACATGCAGACGGACGGCAGCGACCTGCTAACATCCAGACGGCAGCAACCTGCTAACATCCAGACGGCAGCTACCTGCTAACATCCAGACGACAGCGACCTGCTAACATCCAGACGACAGCGACCTGCTAACATCCAGACGACAGCGACCTGCTAACATGCAGACGGACGGCAGCGACCTGCTAACATCCAGACGGACGGCAGCGACCTGCTAACATGCAGACGGACGGCAGCGACCTGCTAACATCCAGACGGACGGCAGCGACCTGCTAACATCCAGACGGACGGCAGCGACCTGCTAACATCCAGACGGCAGCGACCTGCTAACATCCAGACGGCAGCGACCTGCTAACATCCAGACGGACGGCAGCGACCTGCTAACATCCAGACGGACGGCAGCGACCTGCTAACATCCAGACGGCAGCGACCTGCTAACATCCAGACGGCAGCGACCTGCTAACATCCAGACGGCAGCGACCTGCTAACATCCAGACGGACGGCAGCGACCTGCTAACATCCAGACGGACGGCAGCGACCTGCTAACATCCAGACGGACGGCAGCGACCTGCTAACATCCAGACGGCAGCGACCTGCTAACATCCAGACGGACGGCAGCGACCTGCTAACATCCAGACGGCAGCGACCTGCTAACATCCAGACGGACGGCAGCGACCTGCTAACATCCAGACGGCAGCGACCTGCTAACATCCAGACGGACGGCAGCGACCTGCTAACATCCAGACGGACGGCAGCGACCTGCTAGGCAGCGACCTGCTAACATCCAGACGGACGGCAGCGACCTGCTAACATCCAGACGGACGGCAGCGACCTGCATGAGGAGGAATTATTCCCCTGAACGGTTGGTTGATGCATTACACGTCCTAGACATTAATATGGTTTCTGAATATCCTGCTTCAGTTCCATCTGATTTTCTGCCAGTTATTGAAACTGAAGCTCCTCAGAAAGTCCGTGAGCAGACGAGTTTGTTCATCTCCCTCATCATTAATGTTGGTTTGGATCCAGCCTGCAGAGAATATTGAGTTATTTTTGTTTAAAAGACTCTGTGATTCTAAATCAAAGTTTATTTCTTTAAATTGATACACACCTTTTAATTAGTTATTTACGAGCTGACTTCCTTTTTTTGGGGGGTTTAAATGTGAGGAAAATTTCTCCTTAAAAATGGAAAAAATCAGAGATCATGCTAATAAGGAAAAGTTATGATGGTTTATTTTCTATGAAAGAACAAAAGGTTTTTTTTTAAAAAAAACTGCAAATATTTATTTATCTAATATTAAACTTTATTAGCACTGCCACTAATGTTGGAGGAAAAGTAATTTCTCTGAATTCTTAGCCATCTTTTAGTCTTACTGTAGTTTTTTAAATCACCATTTTACTTTGTTTTTTGTCATTTTTTTTACACTGAAAATTACAGGGCCGTGTTATTCTCTCTGTTTTTAATTCTCATGGTCAGGAAAAGCTGTTTTCTGCAGTTAAGTTACCTAATTCAGGGTTTTAAACATTAAACACTTTTCAAAACAAAATTTTAAATTGCTTTTCTTTTTTTATCAATAACATAAGTGATCTCTTTTAATGCATTTAGTGATAGTTTGCAGACATCGTCCAAACAAACCTATAAGCAGAGCAACAGTCATATATCAGATATCTGATCCCATTATCGTTTACATCTGGGGATTACAACAAGCCTTCAATTTATGCTCTGATCCAAACATCTTCCGTTTTAGGAATCTTTCTAGCACCCTTCCACACTAAGGTGATTGGAAGATTTTTGTTTGTACTTCTAAGACCTTGCATTCATCATTAGATTAAATGTTGTAGAACATTCCACGGATTTTGTGGAAAACTAAAAGTGGACACAATTTCTGTTGTTTAGGTTATTTAGATTTTTATATTCTTGTTTTATTACAGATTCTGGCCCTGTTTCCATTTGATGACATCCAGATCTCTGGAAGGTCTGTAGTTGGTGTGCCGAACTGATTTGCTGAAGATCAAAGGTTCTCTCTTCATGAGTTGGTTTGATCCAGTCAATTCCTCTTCTTTGACCTTTCTGTCTCCAGATGAAGGACCTGCTAACATCCAGACGGACGGCAGCGACCTGCTAACATCCAGACGGACTGCAGCGACCTGCTAACATCCAGACGGCAGCGACCTGCTAACATCCAGACGGCAGCGACCTGCTAACATCCAGACGGCAGCGACCTGCTAACATCCAGACGGATGGCAGCGACCTGCTAACATCCAGACGGACTGCAGCGACCTGCTAACATCCAGACGGACTGCAGCGACCTGCTAACATCCAGACGGACGGCAGCGACCTGCTAACATCCAGACGGCAGCGACCTGCCAACATCCAGACGGCAGCGACCTGCTAACATCCAGACGGCAGCGACCTGCCAACATCCAGACGACAGCGACCTGCTAACATCCAGACGACAGCGACCTGCTAACATGCAGACGACAGCGACCTGCTAACATCCAGACGACAGCGACCTGCTAACATGCAGACGACAGCGACCTGCCAACATCCAGACGGCAGCGACCTACTAACATCAGCGACCTGCTAACATCCAGACGGACGGCAGCGACCTGCTAACATCCAGACGGCAGCGACCTGCTAACATCCAGACGGCAGCGACCTGCTAACATCCAGACGGCAGCGACCTGCTAACATCCAGACGGCAGCAACCTGCTAACATCCAGACGGCAGCAACCTGCTAACATCCAGACGGCAGCGACCTGCTAACATCCAGACGGCAGTGACCTGCTAACATCCAGACGGACTGCAGCGACCTGCTAACATCCAGACGGACGGCAGCGACCTGCTAACATCCAGACGGCAGCGACCTGCTAACATCCAGACGACAGCGACCTGCTAACATGCAGACGACAACGACCTGCTAACATCAGCGACCTGCTAACATGCAGACGACAGCGACCTGCTAACATCCAGACGACAGCGACCTGCTAACATGCAGACGACAACGACCTGCCAACATCCAGACGGCACCGACCTGCTAACATCAGCGACCTGCTAACATCCAGACGGACGGCAGCGACCTGCTAACATCCAGACGGACTGCAGCGACCTGCTAACATCCAGACGGCAGCGACCTGCTAACATCCAAACGGACGGCAGCGACCTGCTAACATCCAGACGGACGGCAGCGACCTGCATGAGGAGGAATTATTCCCCTGAACGGTTGGTTGATGCATTACACGTCACAGACATTAATATGGTTTCTGAATATCCTGCTTCAGTTCCATCTGATTTTCTGCCAGTTATTGAAACTGAAGCTCCTCAGAAAGTCTGTGAGCAGACGAGTTTGTTCATCTCCCTCATCATTAATGTTGGTTTGGATCCAGCCTGCAGAGAGTATTGAGTTATTTTTGTTTGAATGTCTCTGTGATTCTAAATCAAAGTTTATTGTGAAGAAAACTTCTGTCCGTATGTCAGAACTCAGCAGGATAAAGTCTGGAAAAGGAGAGACGGATGTTTGTGACATGAAATCACATTTTAGAAGGAAGTTAATCCAACTTTTAACTTATCAGGTTTTTGATTAATGACCAGAATCTGTCTCTAATAAAAGCTTTGCTCCAGTTCAAACTAAACTTCCTTCTTCTTCTTCTTTTGCTTAATGGCGGTTGGTAAGCAATGTTTAGGTGCGCATTAGCTCCACCTTCTGAATAGTAGGTGGATTAGAATTTAAAAATTTCCCTACATTCTATAATATAAACCTGTTTTCCTAAAAGAAGAAGAAAACATATACTTAAATAAAATATGCCCTGAGTCTAATAGCAGTAAACTGAAAACATTAAACTATGCCTTCTATTGATCAGATTTAATCCTAATCTCTCCTTTGTTGATATTGTCTCCAGTATATCAGCACATGTTCTAAATCTGCCACTTCATCCCAGTAATCCCAGTTCCCTGTTACATATTTCCCTTTTATATGCAGTATTATTAAGTCCTGTATGTCCCAGTCTCAACCTTCTTAAAATCAAGTTAGGGTCCCTCCTGTCTCTTCCTTATTTGGTTGAACTCTATAGAAATGTCTTCCTTTACGTCCTCTGTCCTCCTTCCTGCCAAATCTTCACCTTTTCTATAGATTTCATTTCTGCTTTACTGTATTTAATGCTAATTGTTAGCATAGAAGCTCATTGCCCTCCTATGTGAAGCTGGAAGCCAGAACAAGGTAACCTGCAGCGCATGTCTTTTTATTCTAGTAACACGGTGAACAATATCAAACATTATTTCTAATGTATATTATGAAGACATTTCCTTAAAACTAATCAGAGCTCTGCTAGAATCTGAGCAAACAATAACAGAGACAGGTTTGTAGTGCCGGCATTAATGCCACCAGCTCTCCTGTAGAAACAGACAAATGATCACTAACTACGATTTGATACGATATTTAGATCCGCGATAACAGAAGCCACTCCAACACTCTTCATCTGACTTTCTGACGCATCTGAAAATATCTGAAGTTTTTATCTGTATTGTTGAACCGACAGATCCAGGCAGGTTTCAGGGTTCCGTGAGTCCAACAGAGAGCCAGGCCGGTTTCAGGGTTCCGTGAGTCGAGCAGAGAGCCAGGCAGGTTTCAGGGTTCCTTGACTCCAGCAGAGAGCCAGGCAGGTTTCAGGGTTCCGTGAATCAAGCAGAGAGCCAGGCAGGTTTCAGGGTTCCGTGAGTCCAGCAGAGAGCCAGGCAGGTTTCAGGGTTCCGTGAATCAAGCAGAGAGCCAGGCAGGTTTCAGGGTTCCGTGAGTCCAGCAGAGAGCCAGGCAGGTTTCAGGGTTCCGTGAGTCCAGCAGAGAGCTCAGGCAGGTTTCAGGGTTCCGTGAGTCCAGCAGAGAGCTCGGGCAGGTTTCAGGGTTCCCTCAGTCCAGCAGAGAGCTCAGGCAGGTTTCAGGGTTCCCTGAGTCCAGCAGAGTGCTCAGGCAGGTTTCAGGGTTCCGTGAGTCCAGTAGAAAGCCAGGCAGGTTTCAGGGTTCCGTGAGTCCAGCAGAGAGCTCAGGCAGGTTTCAGGGTTCCGTGAGTTCAGCAGAGCGCTCAGGCAGACACACTCAATCGGAAACAGCCACACTTAGCAGTTGAAAAGCAGAAACAAGATACCAGGAAAACTGCGAAACTTTAAACTAGCTCCCGCTGCTGAGCCAAAACAGGAGCAGAGAGCGCTCAGCGGATAAGAGCCAGGACACCAAGACAAGACTAACAATCTTCTCTAAACACTGGCCTCCTAGATTTAAAACTAGATCTAAGGCATCAAAGTCCAACTCAAAAGCACAAAATCAAACATAATGATCTGGCCCTGATAGTTGGACTGAGTCGTAAATATAAAGCAGAGAGACAGGTGGATAAGATTAGTGATAATTAGTGAGCAGGGAGGATTAGGCAGGTGAGTGAAGTAAGCAATTATGCCAGATATCAGGGCAGCGAACATTAGAGTAGTTTCAACTTTATTGTCATTACACAGGTACAGGTACAAGGCAACGAAATGCAGTTTAGGTCTAACCAGAAGTGCAATAGCAGGAAGTGCAGGATAATTAAATAATGGTTGCAAAAGTACAGGACATAGGTTTCTACTGAATAAATATAGAGATGAATAACATTTTAAACAGAATTGTACTAATAATTTTTTCCTATGAATATAATATATAGATAACTAGTGTTATGAACTAAATTTACAGCTGGATATGTACTGAATATAATATACAGGTGGATATTACTAGGGGTGTAAATCACATCCATCATGGCGATTCGATTCAGTATCGATTTCCTGATCCAACGATTCGATTATTTTCGATACTTAAGAATACACCACGATTCGTTTCGATTCGATTAATCGATTAATCGGTTAATTTTTTTTTTATTATTATTTATTTTTATTTTTTTTTACACCTTACAGGCTAAACAAAGTTTCAAGTTTGAAATAAATCAATGAAAGCTGTAATATCATTATGCATTTTCTTTAGAAACAACAGCAAATAACAGAAGTAGAAAAGTTGCATCAAAAAATACTGCAAAAATACTGCACAATATCAGTGTAATGAGTTCAATGCAATACCTCGGCTCCAGAGAAACTGTCCAACATATTTTTTTAGAATGTAATAAATATATTCAGGAAAGAGAGATGTTGTGTAGAGAGTTAGACAGGAATAAAAATAAACTACATATAAGGGAATTGTTTCAAAGGTCATCTGGGGATGTAGTTTTTGGGGGTATTTTTAATTTTCTAAGAAGAACGGGTATTTTAGGGAGAATATAATAGTTTGTCTGGTCCATACTCCATTCTGGAAGGTGGCGGTAATGCAGCTATAAGTTGTTTGCCAACCGCCATTAAAAAAAAGAAGAAGAAGAAGGCTCCAGAGTGTTGACGTCACCGCCCCTTGAGAGACGCTCCGCTGCACCTCTCCCAGATTGTTGCTGACCGCAGACAGTGCACCAGACAGGAGGCCGGCTAGTTTTGTTTTTATGACCGAAATTGCGGAAAACAACTCGTGAAGTTTGACCCGCTAGAAGAGCGAGGTGCGCGAGAACGCTGGGAGCCTTTTTCCAGCTGAATCTCCGCTCTTTTTGCCCCATTGTCCCTCCGTCGTCGGACTAAACTCGCCCCCACTTCCTCATCGCCTCGGCCGTATCTAGACCCACAGCGTGTAGCATAGACCATGCTTCAATACTGAGCATAATTTAAAAATGTCTGTGTGAAGCTTGCTGCAACAAACTGCTGTAAGAGTATAACCAGGAAGCGCGGTAGGAGGGGAAAATAGGTTTAGCGCCACCGCAGCACGGGAGGAAGAATTACGCCCAGGAGCAAATGGATAAAAATAGACCGGAGGGAAAAAAAAAAACATTAATCGATTATCTTGCGGACGTGTCGATGCATCGGATCGTCGGCTTTTGGATCGATGCATCGATACAAAACGATTATTATTTACACCCCTAGATATTACCATAAAATGAATAAATAAAGTTTGGACAGAAGCTATCTAAATTAACGTGCAGTGGAAGCTAATTGCATATTACAGTTAAAATACGTTATTGCAAATGTTGATGTAAACAATTGGTACTGTGAATAAACAGTCGGCAGTGCAAATATAAACAGTCAATGCTTTCTATTGCACAGCGATAGAAGTTCACCAGGATAGTTGAGGGGAGCTGATTCTTCCTCAGTGTTCTCAGGAAGAAGAGGCGCTGGTGAGCTTTCTTGACCAGGCAGGAGGTGTTGGTTGATCAGGACATGTCTGCTGAGATGTGGGTCCCCAGAAACTTGAAACTGGAGACACGTTCAACAGCTATTCCATTGATGTGGATGGTGTCGTGGGTGCCTGTTGAATCTTTCCTGAAGTCTATGATGAGCTCCTTCATTTTGGTGGTGTTGAGGAGCTGGTTATTTTCAGTGCACCATGTGGCCAAGTGCTCGATCTCCCCCCTATAAGCAGACTCATCGTTGTTGCTGATGAGACCGATCACCGTGGTTTCGTCCTCAAACTTGATGATGGAATTAGATGCGTACACAGGCTTGCAGTCGTGGATGAAGAAGGAGAGGGGAAACAGGCGTAGCACACAGCCCTGTGGTACACCAGTGTTTCGTTGGTCAGAAAGTCCAGAATCCAGTTGCACATGGAGGTGTTGATGCCCAGGTCTCGAAGTTTGACTAATGACTTCGCCAGAATGACAGTGTTGAATGCTGAGCTAAAGTCAACAAACAGCATGCGTGCATAAGTGTTCTTATTGTCCAGATGTGTGACCACAGAGTGCAGTGCCATGGAAACTGCATCCTCTGTGCTCCTATTGATGCAGTATGCAAACTAATGTGAGTCTAATGTGGATGGTACCAAGTCTTTCAGGTGTGCCAGGACCAGCCGCTCAAAGCACTTCATTATGATTGGTGTGAGTGCTACAGGGCGGTAGTCGTTAAGGCACCTTGGGCTGGAGTGTTTTGGCACCGGCACAATGGAAGTACATTTGAAGCATGTTGGTACAGCTGCTTGGGCAAGAGTCAGGTTGGAAATGTCTGTAAAAACCCCAGTGAGCTGCTCCGCACATGCCCTGAGTACACGTCCAGGGATGTTATCTGGTCCAGCTGCCTTGTGCGTGCTGATCCTGCTCAGTGCATTGCAGAGGAGAGTGTGATTGGCGGGTGGTCAGCTGAGGATTTCAGCTTGGTGGCAGTTTCACTGTTGTCTCTTTCAAAGTGAGCATAAAAGTCAATCAGCTCATTCAGGAACTTGACATCAAATGCTGCAGAGGTGGGATGAGTGGGTTTATAGTCGCTGATGGCCTTAATTCCCTGCCACATGCGTCAGGGGCCAGCGTTGGAAAAGTGTCCCTCTATCTTAAGCTTGTAGCAGTACTTGGCCTCTTTGATGCCCCTTGTGCATCTCCTGATCTGAAGGCAGTGTTGCGTGTCTTCAATGGGAGTCGCACCTTCCTGTTCATCCATGGCTTCTGATTTGGGTTTGTGGTGATCTGCTTCTGGGTTGTAACATTGTCAATAGTGGTATTAATATAATCCAGTACAGAGGAGGTGTAACAGTCAATGTCCGTGTAAGAGCCACTGGTGGCTTGAGAAGCAGACATACTCCAGTCTGTGTGTAGGAACCTTTCCTGAAGTGTTGAATCTGCTCCCGCAGGCCACAGCTTGATGGTCTTCACTGATGGCTTCACACGATTGATGAGGGGTGCATGTTTGGGGGTGAGGAACAAAGAAAGGTGATCTGACTATCCCAAGTGGGGGAGGGGTGTTGCAACGTAGGCTCCAGCCACATTTGTGTAAACGTGATCTAAAGTTTTGTTTCCTCTGGTGTGGCAGAGAACATGCTGGTGAAATTTTGGTAGCACCGACTTTAAATTTGAATGATTAAAATCACCTGCAACAATAAACGCAGCTTCAGGGTGAATGGTCTTTTGTTTACTGATTGCTGCGTGAAGTTCTTTCATAGCAGACAGCATCAGCGTCCGAGGGAATGTAGGATGCAGTGATAATGGTGGAAGTGAACTCCCATGGCAGATAGAACGGCCTACATTTAACTATCAGAAACTCCAGGTTAGCTAAGCAATGTCTCCCAACAATAACACTTTGTGCACCAAATTTTGTTAATGTAATGCACAGTCCCCTACCTCTGGTCTTACCAGAGCCATCTGATGTTCTCTCCGCCCGGAAAATATGTCGTCCGCTAGCTCAATATCATTGTCTGGTATTCCGCTGTTTAACCATGTTTCCGTAAAGATTAGGACATTACAGTTCAGAAGTCTTGCTGTATGTAATGTTGAGTCAAATCTCCTCCATTTTGTTCAGCAGCGACCCCACATTGGCAAGGAAAATGCTGGGTTAAGAGAGCCGGTGTGGTGTTAGCTTTAGCTTAGCTCTTAGTCCTCTGCGATTCCCCCGTCTTTGTTTACGATCTTGGCGCCGTGTGGGAGCACTTTGGCCCGGCCGAGCAGAGTGCGAAGCCTCGGGTGTTCTGGCTATCTCAGGAAGGAGTCGTAGGTTGTCCACAAAACTGTCAGAAAGTCGTAAACCAATATCCAAAAGCTCACAACGGGAGTACGATGTAATGGCACAACTGTTCTGCACGAACAGACCTGAAATGAACAAGAGAAATTAATATATGCCACTAACTAGGGCTGGGCGATAATTCAATAACGATATATATCGATCGATAGACGTGTGGCGCAATAGAAAAAAAGAGGGTCGATAAAAGTTCTATAAAAAAGAAACGCTGTTTTCCTTCCTTCTCATTGTAGCCTAGCATGTAGGTTTATGCTAGTCACTGCTTCCTCCCAACCAATCACAATCGCGGACCCAGGCACGCCGTCACCAAGCGCCGCCCTCTCAAACCACAACACAGAGCACATGAAGATGCAGCAAGGGGAGGCGGAGGAAATTGTTTCAAAGAAAGGTTTTTGTAGTTCGGCAGTCTGGCAGTATTTCGGTCATGGCAAGTCGGACCAAAAACAAACCACAGTCATCTGGAAAATGTGTCGGGAACCAGTGAAAACCAGTCTGATAACAAAACCAACTTTTCTTTTCTTTTTTATCATCTCAGCCGCTCACACCCGCAGGAGTACGAGCTGTGTAGGCCCCGGCGCGGCTCTCCTCCGAGGAATCTTCGGGAATTTGGGGAAAATATATATATATTTTCAGTTCTGGGCAGTTTCCCACGTAGTTCTAACAATTGAGATAAAAATGCTGAGGGGCCAGAAACTTCAAAGTAATAACTCAGGTTAAAGCAGGAAACGGGGGCGGCGGCGGCGGTGGGGGGGCATTTATTTATTTGTTATATTTATTTTGGTCACTTTTCTGGTCAATTTAGTTTATTCTTTGTCAGTATTTAATAACATAACTCAGGTCTCTTAAGTTATTTTTCTTTAAAACAATTCTGTTATGGTTAAAAAAGTTGGTTAAATAAAGATTTAATTTGAAGTCTGTGTTTGTGTTTTTTATTAAAATTAAATCATTTAGCAATTTTATAAAAAGTCCAGGCAGAGCTGCACATAAAATATGGTTTCATATCTTTTCAATAATTATCGATATCGATCAATATGCATTTTTTTTTTATCGATAAGCTTTTTTTCTATATCGCCCAGCCCTACCACTAACTGCTCCCCAAATAGTTTAATATCTACCTGACATTGCTTAATCTTTTTAGTGAATAATATTACTCTTCCTTTTGCAACTGAAAATCTAAAACCCCATTCCACGGCCCATCCTCAGTTACACCTACTGCCTGTTGTATCTCCTTTACCTAGAAAGGTGCATAAGAACCCCATCATTAGCATTCTACACGCTATTTGTCTACCTTCTAAAAACTGTAAGGAACATAATATCTATTATTTTACAGAACTTTCTGAAAGTGTTTTAGAGAAATCTTATAACTCCTGTTCCACTGTTCTCTATTCCTTAAGGTCGCCCTCCGGCTGGTTGAGTTCTGGTCACTGAACAAAGGACCTCCAGGCTTCATCTCAAGATGGAAAATACTGTGGAACTAAACCAGGAGACACCAGAACCACAGCAGACGACTCGGACAAAAGAGGAAGCAGAACCTCAACCAATTAAACGGGAAAAGGTTGATGTAAGCATCTGTCAGGAGGGGAGGCGGGTTCTAGTGAAGGAGGAGGAGAATCCTTTGATGGTGACTCCTGATTATGCAGAAATGCTTTACAATGTAAAGGACCTGCAACAGACAGGAGAGACCAAGGAGGAACCAGAACTCATACCGGTTAAAGGGGAACAGGAGGAACCAGAACTCATACCGGTTAAAGGGGAACAGGAGGAACCAGAACCCGTACAGGTTAAAGGGGAACAGGAGGAACCAGAACTCATACCGGTTAAAGGGGAACAGGAGGAACCAGAACCCGTACAGGTTAAAGGGGAACAGGAGGAACCAGAACTCATACCGGTTAAAGGGGAACAGGAGGAACCAGAACCCGTACAGGTTAAAGGGGAACAGGAGGAACCAGAACCCGTACAGGTTAAAGGGGAACAGGAGGAACCAGAACCTGTACAGTTTAAAGGGGAAACAGAAGATGAAGAGCAGCTTGCTGTGAAGCAGGAGGAGGAAACCTTCATGGTTCATCCTAACTGTGAACAAACAGAAAACAAAGAACTAGGAACATTTAAGAACCAACCACCCTGTCCAAACTGGCCTGAAGCTGAGAACCGACATCAGCAGAAAAGCAGCCATGACGATTTGACGTCAGGTACAGATGAAGAGCTTCAGCCAGAGATGAGACATCAGAACAGCGGGACCAATCCACAGACATCCATGTATGAAGTGGATCTGTTTTCCTGTGAAGTTTGTGGTAAATCTTTCAACAAGCAAAAGTGCTTGACTGTCCACATGAGAACTCACACAGGGGAGAAACCTTATCCTTGTAAATTGTGTGGTAAATCTTTTGCCATCTATGGTACCAGAACTAGACACATGAGAATTCACACAGGAGAGAAACCATTCACTTGTGAAGTATGCGGTAAATCTTTCAGACACTCCTACCAGCTACGTCATCATCTAATAACTCACACAGGGGAGAAGCCTTTCTCATGTTTGATGTGTGGAAAAGATTTCAGCCAGCAATCTAACCTAACTGTGCACATGAGAACTCATACAGGTGAGAAGCCTTTCACATGTTTGAGATGTAGAAAATGTTTCACTAGGCAAAGTACTTTGATTGAGCACATGAGAACTCACACAGGCGAGAAGCCGTATTCTTGTCAATTATGTGGTAATACATTTAGATACAGTCGCCATTTGACTCTTCATGCAAGGACTCACACAGGCGAGAAGCCTTTTTCATGTTGGACCTGTGGAAAAAAATTCTCAAGGCAGTCCAACTTGAATGTTCACATGAAAATTCACACAGGTAAGAAGCAACATCCTTGAGATTTGGGCTACAAGTCTTTAATGACAGGTAGTCAATCTGCCAAGACGAGGTCTTGAAACTGACATCTGACATTCTCTGTCATGGTGGCTGATAAACTGTCAAAATGGACAGCATTTAACAGGAAATAAGTTAAAATCTCCTGAAATTTCTCCAAATACCTTAGGTTGAAGTACCTACAGTAAGAAAAACAGCTGATGACATCACAGGCATTGTCAGCCACGAATGATTGCGCAAACACTACTTTTGTCAAAATAATCCTGAATCAACTCGCATAAATAATTTGACATAAATGGACAGCTGAAACCCTGGATCAGAGACGATGTCTCCCTTTAGTTTGTCCTGGATTATTCAGCACTGCTAATCCACCTCCTGTGATTTTATCCTACTCAGGCAGAGAGTAAATATCCTTATAGCACCTGTTCAAGTTAGTGGACTTCACAGCACTTTACACTATTTCCCCTCAGTCATTCAGACACTGATGGTGGTGAGGCTGCTGTGCCACCACCACCCCCCCGATCGCCATCACTAGGTCATGTGAAGTGTCCTATCCAAGAGGACCATGAATGAGACGGACTTCTGCATAATCCTGCAGGCCCATCACAGTGAGAAACCAACTACATGTTCTATATCCTGGGGGGGTCCTTGTTGGTGATTGTAGTTCATTTCTTTAATTCAGATTTTCTAAAACTGGTTACAGTCATTTTTTTTCTCATTCTCTCATTTTGCTTTGCTCCATCTCTGAATCTATGATGCTTCTGGTTTATCAAATCTAGGATTTTGATGAAAGTTTCAGTTGAAAAAGTGCCCAGACAGCTGGACATTACCGCCTTAAATTGCATTTTATTATATACATACAAACAGACAGAGAGACAATCCTGTTTTAACTCATTAAATGTAGGGCTGAAACAATTAGATTAATCATGATTAATCGATTATTGAAATATTTTTCAACTAATCGATTAATCATTAACTGGAATATAGAAACCCGCCTTTAGCTTTAGAGCAGGAATTATATCAAGGCTGTAAAAAAATATTTAACCATTTTGTATTTAAGATAAAAATGTTTTGGTCTGTCAATATGCTCCATAGAGAACCTCTGAAGTAGAAAAGTTTTCATTTCACTTGGCTATCAGATTATTAATCGATTAAACAATTTATCTTCTGGTTTTATTAAACTTAACAGCAGCCTAGATGAGCCTATGAGGCAAGAAGTGCGGCAGAACCGTCAGCATCAAAAGCCGAGCAGTGAGGTGATAAACAGGAGGAGAAGGAAAACAGACTGCAAAGAAACACAGATGTTAGAATTAATTAAGAAATACATTTTTTCTTTGTCTGCAGGGAATATTTTCACCTCAACAGTAGAGATAGATTCATTTCTGGCATCAGAGAAGATCAGATGAGCAGAATTACAGACGCCAACATTTATGAAGAGCAGCTCAACGCCCCCCCCCCCCCCATCCCCATTGGATAAGAGGCTGTTAGTAAAGAGGAAGGAGCCTCTTCATCCTTAAAGATGTTTTTACAACTTTGGATGATGACATCACTATGCTAGGGGGCGTGGCCATTTCTAATGTTGGAGCTCGTTAATGATGTTAACAACATGTCAGGGTTCGACAGCACTGGGTTAGGATCACTGCTGCTCTGTCATAAATGCATTTTTATGTTAAATATTGTTTTTAATGAATGATGAATTCCAATCATCATATGATATCCGTATATAAATCTAATGAGTTACATTAAAATAATAGATTGGTTTTGATGCGTTTGATTTTTATTTTTAAATTTAAGCTGAAATATGAACAAGGATGTTAAATTCACATGTAAAATGTTTTATTGAAATAAATGTTTAATAAACACCAGTAACCCCAGTAATGTTAGCCTGATGTGTATTTTCTATCCATGCCTGTGTTTCCAGTAAAACCTTCAAACTGCTCCGGATTTATTTCATTTTAATGGCGGCGGCACCAACTGCTGCCAATCAGCTGTTCAGAGAGACGGTTTATTGAAGGAACTAGTGATTCGGTGAGCGAATAGGTGTCATCCACGTGAACCAGGAATAGTTCACTCAGCATCCATCATTATCTCTCACTAGTCTGGGCAGCGATTTGCTCTTTTTATTTTTCTGACTTTAACTAGTCCCACAGTTTTCAACTGATTTTATCAGTTTCAGTATCAAAATGTTCAGCTTGTTCAGGAGAATTATATGTCTTTTGGTAAAGATATTTTGTGGTAGTTTTTGTAATATTCAGTTTTTTCTGCCTTTTTTTTGTCCCATTGAAATGCATGTAAAATTCTCAGATTTCAGCTAAAACTTCACCATCTTTGACCTTTAACTACTTCCGCATACTTTCAGCTAGAAACACCGTTCAACTTCTAAAATGTTCATCAAAGATTCAGCTATTCCAATTTAACTCAGCTTTTTAATATCTTTTGCGGTTTTTATAAAATTGGGATTCAAACTTGACACAAATTTTTTCAGGTTTTCAATTTTCTAATGCAAGTCTATGGGTGGAAATCTTCAAATGTCAGAGTGCGTGCTCTAGCTTTTGAGCCGTTCTAATAAATCTTCTCACTCGCTAATTTTTCACTCAATTTAAATAAAGTATACATCAAAATGTAGGAATTTTTGTCAGAATTCAGGAAATGTAACCCTCATTGGTGTGGGGTTTACAGTTTTCCTACAGTTTGGCCCAGACCGCAAAGAAGTCCACACCCCCCCAATAGAAATCCAATGACTTTCCAAAAATCAGATGAAAATCCCATTTTGCCAATTTCCCTATTTTTTCACCGAGTTCTCTGTCTTTTCAAACACCTCATTGCGTCACGCAAACTGTTTGATGTACAAACATGAAACATGTCATCATCGGACCCCTCTAGCGTTCACGTTGAAGGAATTCTTTTGATATCATGTATGGTTTGGCCGTGCAGCTGGTTTGTTCGGGGGCATCAAGTAGGTCAAATTTCCAGCTCAAATCTTTCAAAATGACACCCTTTTTCACATTGTTACCATGGCAACATTTTGGTAGAAACATAAAAGTTGGTAAATTTGATAATCAATGCCTGCTGATTCATACACTGAAAAAAAAAAGAAATTTTGCCAATTTCCCTCTCTAACCGTAATCCCTTTCACAGAGAGCTTATCTTTACAAAAACAGCCCTGAAGCTTTGTTCCCAAATATTCATGAATTAAACGGTGCAAGAATGACATCATATGGCTTATTGTGTCAGAGTTACAGGCATTTGTTTGGCAGGACGTCATACAGGCAATTAAGCCAGGATAGTAATTGGAGATGGTGGCTGAACAACACATCACTGCCTCTTCTAGACTGTTTCATTTACAAACATGAAACTTGGCATCAGACCTGACTAGCGCTCACATTAAAAGAATGTTTTTGATATTATGTGAGGTTCGGCTGTGCAGCTACTTTGCTCAGGAGCATCAATTCGGTCAAATTTTCAATTGAAATCTTTCAAAATGAGCCCCTTTTTTACATTGTTACCATGGCAACATCCTTTTGTGAAAGTTGGTATAATCGTTCCTCGAAGCCGGCTAATTTTCACGGTTATACTTTTGATATAATTTATGGTTTGACGGTGACACTTTGTCATTCGGGATTCTAAAAACAGTAAATTTTCTAACCAAAATTATCCTTTTTTTCATCATCACCATGGCAACGGCCTCTTTTCAGGAAACAAGATATTTGGCACTGTTGTTCATCAACAACTGCTGATTCTTGTGATCTAGAAATGTTTTTGTATCCTTTACAGTTTTTGAAATATTAATCATAGTTCAACACAGCATTTTTAACATCCTTTGAATTAAAAAAATTTCGCTGTTTTCTTTTACCAAGGACTTTGTCTTTTAAAGAATATTTTCAGTTGAACTTCTGTCAACTCCCAGGTAAACAGATGCTTTTTGGTTAAACAAATTTCACGAAATGTTCTGCTTTTAAGATGAGTCTGTTTCTGCCATTGTTTTGCCAAATGATTCTACCTTACAAATCTTCTGATGATTCAATTGTTTTCTGCAGTTTGAAGTTTCTGATTACTTCCTATCACATTTTCATATGTTCTTCAGCTAATTTCTGTTTTTTTCCCTTTTTCAGTTTCTTTAGCTAATTTTTCTTTTTTCATTTAGCAAAAAAAGGCATTCACATTTAGCTGTTTCTCTGAAATGGCTTTTTCTATTTATTTATTAATCCTTCCTCCCTGAGATCAAACAGCAGAAAGTAGATGACATTAAGGAAATAAAGGAATTATTGGGTAAACAACACAGAGCGGTCTGACATGTCATTGTTTTTGGGCTGCTTCTCTAGGGACAGCACTGCACTACTGTATCTTAGTGCTATAAAGGGGCCTTAAACCGTTAGAGGGAGCTAGTGAGGCAGACCCAGCGAATAGAGGATAGATCTAGTTTAGCTCCGTTTCACAAAGCAGGTTTACCGAAAACGCTAAGTTCTCTAACCCTGAAAACAGGGAAACTCTGACTTTTCCGTTTGTTAAAGAGAGTTTTCCTCATCCTCTGTTTCTGTTGCCATAGTAACATCCTCCCAGAGCTAACCTGGTCAGCAGCAGGTTTTCTCCAGTAAACTCAGAGTGTCCTCTGTCTCCGCTGTCCTTAGGGAGAGGATTCTACAACTCAGTTGACAGGATATGAGATGAGACTTGTTTTTGGTTTGTTTAATATCTGGTTCATTTTATTTTGTTATATTTACAGTACATGAAGAACTACTGAAATTATTTTCAGATTACCCAATAAATATATTCATTAATTCAGCAGGAGGGGAGCAGGTGGAATGGACGGTTCAACAGAGCTATGGCTCTGGGTGAGTTTGGCAACAGTATTAAAAAGAAATCTAGGATTATTCTTATTCTCCTCTATTAATGAGGAGAAATATGCTGCTCTTGCTTTACAAAGGGTCCTCTTATACAGCAGTAAACTATTTTTCCAGACTAGGAAGGATTCCTGTAGGCCTGTGGAGCGCCATATTCTCACCAGTTTCCTAGCATTTTGCTTCAGAGTTCGCAGCTCTGCATTAAACCAAGGAGCCAGCTTTCTATTTTTAAAGTTTGAAAAACCTTCAACCTTTGAAAGGAAATAAATTCAACTTTTGCACTCTGCAGCACTGCTCAGCAACACAGAGGAGAGAGAAAGTGAAACAGATTCTTTAATATTCTTTAATAGGTAAAATCCTTTTGGGGGAGGAAAACTCTGTTAAAGTAATCCTGAAGGATATTAAAAATTGGTCATACAGGAGAGGGTTGTGAGGAAATCCTGTTATTTCTTTACATTGTTGGTGAAGATTATCAGTCATCCAGGTTGTAGTCAATTCCAAAAAAGGGGTTAAAATCAATCCACTGGACTTAGTTTCCAAGTTTGAAGACGTTTCTCTTCCCATCCAGGAAGCTTTTTCAATTAAAAATGTCAGAATTAGCATTGAGTTCCAGGTTTTATAGAGTGGACCAAACAAGGCCTTGTTAATTGCTATTTTATTGGGTATTGCAGGCTAACAAGATCTTAACGACTCCCCACTCCTAAAGGGTGGACCCATTCTTCTGGTTTCATTTTTAATGTTTTCTACGCCATAACAAGGCTTTTGTTTGTGCCACTCTATAAGCCTGGAACTCAAACCATACTCCAGACATTTTGAATTGAGACAGCTTCCTGGATGGGAAGCAAAACATCTTCAAACTTGGAAAACCAAGTACAGTGTTTTTTCTTTTTTTTTTTACTTTTTTTACTTTGATAGGAGTTGCCTCGTTTATGCTCACATTATCCTCTTGCTGCAGCCAGGTTTCTGTAAGGCAACACAAGTCAATGTGATTATCACAAATCAAGTCATTAACTAGCAGACTTTTAGAGGAAAGCGATCTTATGTTAAATAGACCACATTTAATCATTTTAACTTTTTCCCCAATTGGAGATATTTTAATTTTAATTAGATTATCATGATTTACTACTTTGGGAAAATTTGCTAATTTATTAGATTTTGGTCGTGGGCAAGACACTGTCTGGATGGAGTAAAGAGTGGGTAACAGTAGAGAAGCTGCAGAGAGGTCTGTTAAACTAGGACTCTGCTTCGTGGTCTGCATTAGGGGTGTAAATAATAATCGTTTTGTATCGATGCATTGATCCAAAAGCCGACGATCCGATGCATCGATACGTCCGCAAGATAATTGATTCATGTGTTTTTTTCCTCCGGTATATTTTTATCCATTTGCTCCTGGACGTAATTCTCCCTCCCGTGCTGCGGTGGCGGTAAACCTATTTTGCCCTCCTACCTCGCTTCCTGGTTATACTCTTACAGCAGTGTGTTGCAGTGAGCTTGATGCAGACATTTTTAAATTATGCTCAATATTGAAGCGTGGTCTGTGCTACACACTGTGGGTCTAGATACGGCCGAGACGGCGAGGAAGTGGGGGCAAGTTTAGTCCGATGACGGAGGGACATG